AACAGCTATCTGGGAAAGATTTTACTTTACAGCCATTTAAGTACAAAAGTACTTTTGGAACAGTGTAAGAGTGCAACTTCTGGAACAGTAAAAGAGTGCTGTTAGTTAATTCTTAGTTTGTATTCACTTTCATCTATACACACTGTAAAACAAGAAATTAAATATTCCATAACACCCATAGGCACTGTATCTGCACGTTGCAACCAAGCATAATTTACAATGTTAAATGAAATTTTACATTTAAATATCTGTAGCCAGATGCCCAAGGACAGCAGAGCTGTCTCCAAGTGAATGGCAGCCCTAACAGTCTACTCAATAGCAGTTTTTTTTCTGGTTGTGTGTGAGGTGTGTCATGTATTTCAAAGGTACCAAGAAAGAAAGTTTTCTTGATTTTGGTGACCAAAAGGAAAGTAGAAAATGTGGATTTCTACTAAAAACATAAGGTGGGTTATTTAATGTCTGATGGAACAATCACACTGGGCTTCTTTTAGGTCCTGTTTGGGGAAGGAGTTTTAAATGAACAAAAAGCATGAAGGCAGGCAGGTAGAAAGGCACACAGAATGAACAAAAATATCAGGGCATTCTAAGAGTGGGACATAGGCTGATGAGGATAAGGGCATAAGCTAGTTATGATTTTTTTGTGAATACTTCTCAGCCAAAAGTTTCTTGTTTACCACATTTGGAATATTTTCTGAATACGTGTTTATTTTATCATCAGTTTCTTTGGAAAGCATTTTGGCAGCAGGGGCAGCCAGCTGGCTGTGTGCTGCCTGCCCCTTTGCCTGCCAGCTACTCACACAACTACACAGGAGCCCCTGGTGTGTGCCGTAAGCTTAGCCTAGGGATGCACCAGTGTATATGATCCTTTGCTCCCTGGCTACGTTACCTGAAAGATAAAGATGACAAACAGGAAGAAAAAATGGACTCTTGTTTTCTTGTGTTTAGCATATTAATTCCAGTTACGTTGTTCTTTTGGTTTATTTTCAAATAGTGGAATGGTAATGGAATTACCTCGTGCACCAGTGTTTCCCCAATGATTTGACCAGTCGTTAAATCCCTCTTTTCCTTCTGGGCATACATTCATAATACTGAATTTTGGGGGCTTTATTTAAGTAGCTTTATATAGAATACCTAATACTGACTACTTGCCTCTCTTTCTTTAGTTTTTCCACTTTAAACTATTTGTTGTGACAACAGAAGACTAGGACATAAAGTATTCAGTATGTGAAGGAATATTGCCTTTTAACTCTTTTCCACTATAGTGGCAAAATCATAAATAATCCACTTTTGTTTTTCCACAGTAGCACAGAGAAAAGGTTACTCAGTTCTTTTTGTGGTTTACCATGTCCAGAAAAAATTTTAATCATTCATTGTTTAAAGCTGTATTCAGTCTGTAGCTAAACTGTGTTTATATTAATAATTTGCAAATTTTGTATGAAATGCAATCAGCTTATATTCAGTTGTCCATATAGGAATTTAGTGTTTCTGCATTACACAGCAGAAGTATCATTGTTCAGTCAAAATCTTGAGTGATATGCATCTGCTTCCAGTCTGGTCAAACACAAATCTATTTAGGGAAAAGGAAATATTTCCGAGTATCTTCCCCATTTGTGACTACTGTACAATCTTTCATTTTCCACTATGTGGTCTTACCAAGATTTAAAAATGAATTAGATACTGGACAAAAAATTGTTGTAATTAATGCAAAATTTTTAAGGGGTGTTTTCGGACAGTTTACTGGATAAAAATTGGCCTGAAACCTACTTAATGTGGAAATCCTATTTTCCAATTTAATGTTTGAAGGATTTTAAGCCTCATTCCAAGTCTGTGTTCATACCAGATAAGTTCTAATATGCATATAGTTAAGGTATGCTAATAGAAAATAGTGTTATCTTGAGACAGTCTAGACCAAAAAAAAAACCCTACAAGTTTCCCTGGAATGTCAAACTCTTCTACTGAAATTTTACAGCTCGTTGGATTGCAGACAGAAAGTGAGATTGCCCTGCCAGTCACAGTGAATATCTCTGTCATAAAGAATAAAAATAACCCAGTTGTTTTCAAGAGCCTTATTTTATGTAATTCTGATACAACATTTCTAAGACATTAAATGTTCTATTCATTATACTTAAATGATTCTATAATGAATGTTCTAAAATGTTTGTTTGAAGACCAGGCATCTAAAATAATTTGAAAGTTAAAGTACATGTGATTTCAATGGTATCATGTTAAACCAATACATCTTACAATTATTTAAAATTTGAATGAGACAGAAAATCAGATTTCAGAGGTCAAAGAAAAAAAAACCCCACCAGAACAGCTGCTGTGTCAGATTGCTATCGTGCTGTAGCCTCTATATTTGCATTCCAGAAAGAGCAATGGAAGCTTCCAGGCACAAGCTTCAAAAGTTGGCAATTGCCAGTACACCCACAGGACTTATGGCTAATCAAATGCTGTATTTTAGTGTGACTCTTTAGTAAGATATGTAGCTATTTATCCAAAAAGTATGCAAGACTGCTAAAATAATACACAATGAGTATATTACTGGAAATGGAACATTTTCATAACAATCTTCATAAAAGTACCAAAATATTTTATAATTAATATACCTAAAATTTCCAAGGTTAATTAAACTGTGCAAGGTAGTCTGTTACTTAGTTTAAGTGTTATGACTCTCCCAATTTGTATAATTTCTGGCTTTACATAAATTCCTTTGACGTTTCAAAATTTTTCAGAAGTATATGTAATGCTGGAAAGTAAATTATACATTAAATTTCAGTAAGTTTACTGGAAAGTAACGTATCCTTCATATACTGTGACTGCAATACTGTATATGGCCACAATAATCCCTGCTCTCCTGTACAGCTGATGATGTTACTAAACCAGTTACAATTCTTAAATGGGAAAACAAACCCATATTAACTAGAGGCATAATTTTCTCACTGCAGTTGGACAGACAATTTTTCAAAAAGCTCTTCCACATAAAATAGTTATCTGTGTACTGAGAGTTCAGTCACTTCTCATAGTCCTGCAGCAAATGCTTTTTTCTTTCTCACTTAAACAGAGTTACAGATGGATGCTTTTGATTAACTGTGTTCACATCATCATATTATAGCAAGATACTTGCTGAATCATAAGTATGTAAGCTGATTCAGTGAAATTCCTTCTACGATAGTTGAAGGTAATACCTTTATCTTGACTTCTCAGACAGAACGAGTGTCAGCTAAGAATGTTGCTACAGACATGGGGAACTGAAAACAACAACAGTTTCCATAAGTATTTGTAATAACTTTTGCCAGTACTTGCATTTCGTGAGATTTTTGTAAGCTTTATAAAATGAAGACATAGAAGTTTCTGGTAAACATAAAGGCTATGAAGGCATGGTAATGGGAGAGGAAAATTAACTATTAGGTGGTATATAAAGGCTTTGGTGCCTTCTCATGTGTTCCTGATGATCTCAGTTCTGTGGTGTCTCAGTTTGGTAATGATGCTCACAAGTGCCCAGCTCTTAAATGAGCAAGCCATGAAATGCTCTTGATGTCAACTGCTCTAATTAATTACTGCTTCACAGAAAGATTATGTAAATATGTAAAAAAAAAAATCATATTTCACAACAGTGATGAATTTTTTTCATCTTTTGCGTTAGAGAAGGGTGAATTTCTGTATGACACCATCAAGTTTGAGTTGTTAAGGGAGCACCATAATCCCTTATCTTCACAAAGAAGATATTTCCTAGAAGCATAAAAAATGAAATTCTATTTTGGATTAATAAGAACTGAGAGCTAATTTGCTAGAAATTAATGTGGTATGTACAGTTGTGAAATTCTAATAACTATATATTTATTAGAGTATCTGTTTTGTTGTTGAGGCTGTTTTGAGAACCTAATATTTTTTTTTACTTTGATCGAGATTTTCAGAAGTGATTTTGTGTCATTTGGTTTGACTTTTTCATATGGCAGATGCAGATAATTTTCAACAAATTTTGGAATTTAACATTACAGTTCTATTATCAACAGCCATGTACTTTATCCTTCAGTTGCTGGGCAGAGGAGTAAGGAATAGAGAAGGAAAAAAACCAACCACACACACACACATACACACACAAGCAAAACAAAAAACAAAACAAAATCCCAAACCAAAAAAGTCAAACCAAAACAAAAAAAACCCAAGCAAACCAAAAAGGCAGAGCTTCATGTCAATTACAATTTAATGTTTTCATTTTAATTACAGCCAAGTTGAGCTGGGGCTGAAATTATGTTAAATGATATTCACTGTGTGTCCTGTGTTGCTTCCCACCACTCAGAAGGGGTAACTCTGAGAACTTCCCTTCCCTGGAGGGAAGGTGATGGGCTATCCGAGTTTAACAGAACTGGAATTGATCTTCTGGGATGTTGGTGGGAAGGCGGAGATTACCTTGTGAAGATTGCCAAAGTACCACAACTCAATAGCCATTCCCATTTTGGAGCACAGATTGCCCTCTGCCCTTGGCAGTGCTAAGGTGGCAAGGCAACAGCTTACTTAGCTCCCTTGTAAACTCAGGAAATGAGCTGTACCATGGACAGACCTTCTTACCGAGGCAAACTTTATCATTTGGTTTATAAAGTCACACAAGGGTGAGATGAACACAATCACTCCGGAGTGTGAATAAAAGCTAATGAAAGAAGAGGTCATAAAAAAATCTGAGATCTGTATCTCTGTTCATTAATTTCTTACCATCTTTTATGCACACAGTCTTTTCAGCAGTTCCACAGCTCCTGCACTTCATTCTTCCACTTTGTGTACTGGTCCAATATTATTCCTTAACTTATCAGCTGGTGATCATAATTTGTGTATTATTTGTCTTTTCGCTTTTGGGTATAATACCAAATTTGTTCAGTAAATACAGTTAAAAGTGTTTGAGCTCTTACAAATAGAAGCCACTATAAAAACCTTGTAAGAATGATAATGAACTGGAGGAGTTTGTGTTTTCTTTTTTTCTTCTTCTTTTTCTGAGTGGCTTTTAGGTGTGTTGAACTTGATCAAAAGGAGATCCTGTTTGGCGGGTACTCTGCTGTTGCAGTTTCTGAGAGCTATGGGAATGAGGGAGGGCATTGCAATTCTATATATAAAGCATCCAAGCTTGAAGAGGGCAGCCTAGAAAGTGGTAGCAGTGACACTACCTGTTTGGAACGGAGGGGAGCTCTTGAAAAAACCTCTCCAGTCCTGCCATGCAACATGTTCCCAACAGTAATACTGCTCATCTTCTGCAGTTTTCTGCAGTCTGCTGGTAAGTCCAGGTGCCTGCCTTCCTCTTGGTGTATGGTTTGAAGGAGAGTACACATGTATTGAAGTGAAGGGGGTGAGTGACTCCACTGCAGTATTACAGTACATAAGCTTCAGGTTTTGCTCTCCTTTCCCATGACCAGCTGAACTCAGTTTACACCTTTTCTTCTCCTTCACTTCACCTTAAAACACAACTGGTTGTTTAATAAATACATCACTGAAATAGAGCTATTTGTTCTTAACTTTTTTCCTTTTTTTTTTTTTTTTTTTTTTTTTTTTTTTTTTTTTTTTTTTTTTTTTTTTAGAAACGTGGTTACTAATTTGTTGTATCTGTCCCTAAAACTCATTCTCTAGATACAGGGAATAATTTTTTAATGGGCATTCATTGTGTTTCCAAGTTGCCAAATGTCTTCATCTTTCAGATGCTCGGTGTCCTAGCGATGTCACTGTGGAAACTGTGTATCTTCGGTGTCGAGTGATGATCAAAACAACTTTGCTTTATTATGCCAGCTTCAAAAAGTATTAAGTGTGAGCTATGTGATGTCATTACTTTTTTTGAGGAACAGTGTGGCAAAAAGAATCCTGTGCTGGGAATCAAGCAAATGGTTCTAGTCTAAAAATTTTACGTGACTCTTTAATGTATTCCTCTCTGTATTGCTTAATATAATTCCTTAGTCTTTTAAAGGACTCTGTCTTGCTTTTTTGATCCAACCCATCTGAATAGCAGATGAATGTGTAATTTCTAAAAAAGATTTGACAAGTATGTTCATTGACTCTCTAGCTACTCTGCTTTCTTGCTCATTCTTCTTCCTGTGTTGGTTTTGGGTTTTTTAAATGAACTTTTTGAGAGTGTACCTTTTTTACTATGGTTTGGCATCACTTAAGATGGTTAATTTTTTTTCTCTTTTGTATATTCTTTTTAATTATCAATTATTAGTTATAATTTCAGGAACAGGTCTCAGACTGCTAAAAGGCATACTTCATTTGCTTTAATTTGAACAAAGTTAAATTTATTTCTTCTGTATTGTGTTTACTACGGTTAATGAACCATATAGTTCAAATTGCATGGGGACATTCATTACTCTTAAATCAGTGACTAAACTGTAGCACTAAAATAATTAAAATATAAGCAACTCAACCCTATTGTAGACTCTCAGAGCCAATTTCTAACCTCAGCTGTATTGTTATAAATCAGGTGTAACCCCATTCACTATATTAACACCATTGTAACCAATATCAAGTTAAGTACCTGAACATGGGTCCTAACCCCAAATGTCGATGCCTGCAAGATCTTAATCTACGTTATTTCCTATGTTAGATGAGTAGATGCATTAATATAAATACTAATATTTGCAATCAAATAGAAAATTACTGTAGACACACAGCCACAAGATTTATGTATAAACCTGGCAATTACCAATAGGGCCTTGTCTACAAAGGACTAAGTTGAATTTACACATAAACCCCTAGAAGTAGGATCCAGAAAATTCTTACAGAGCAGTCTTCTCCTTTGGGATATATCAGTATTTCAGGGCCTTGAGATGCCAAGCAAGGTTGGAGACTATGAGAACAAATGGAGATCATTCTGTCAAGTAAGATTTTGAAATCAGACCATTTTTGGGTGGTGATCTCTATGTTCTAAAACTAGACAACATGCAGGATGCTCATTTTTTGAACTCTAGATCCAAATCTTGTCTCCTCAGAATGAATCAAATCAAAGCCAATACTTCAGTTCTTCTTTTCATGTGTCTGCATCCAAATTCTGTACCTCAAACCTGTCTCTAGCTAGAAATGTAAATATTCATTTTAAGACCATATATTTGATTATTTGATGTGAAGTCTGATGGAAATTGGAAGATCCACTTCCTCTTTTTCTTGATAACTCAAGAAAAATCAGTAAACAAACATTAGCCTGAGTTAAAAAAAAAAAAATCTAAGGAAGCCTAAAGCCCAATTAAAACTGTTAGTTCTAGCCATCTAGAGATTCACTGATTAAATTGAGGATTCATACCTTTAGTTTTTTCAGTAGACAAAAACTGTGCATTGGTCCTTATGAGATATTTATGCACAGTCATGATAATTTTTCTTAATTAGATACCTTGATTTATGTTGTTCAGACATCTAAGTTTGCAAGAGACAAAGGGAGATAATAATTTCATATAGAAATCATCATGAACATGTGCAACTGATTACTAGTATTACAGCTCTGGCTCTAGCAGTACCCTCACTGTTAAATTTAATTTTAGGCTTATATGATTTATTTTAAAGCTCTTGTCCTTTCCAGAACATCTGGCATTTTGACATTTGTATTTGTCCCAAATTAGAAGATAAAACTGAACCCTTTTCAAAACAGGAATCCTAAATTATTTCTGTTTGGAAGTACAAAAAAATATTTCATTTCAGTGTTTTTTTTCATTCATTTAGCTGATGTGAAAAACTTTGTTTGAAGTTATTACAACATAAAATTGTATTTTCACATAGGCATGTCTCATAGAAACTGTAGTATAGAAACAACATTATTTATTTCTTTATAGTAAGTCATGTTCCCTGACTGGATTGTATTGCTGACCTGAGCTAGCCACGCTGACCACACAGAAATTGCACTTAGAAAGATACAATTCTCATGGAAGCTGGCCAGCTGGATTAGAGTAGGAATTGAAAGTAAACCCTTCCTTTATCCAAGAAAAGTGGAACTGATTAAATTCTATTGAGCTAATTCAAAATTAAGTATTTCATGTTAAAGCAAAGTCATCCCATTTCTCAAAGGAAAACAGAATACTTGCAGTAATAATAAAATGTCAATAAGATTGCAGTACTTTAGAAATCTCATTTAATACTAGGACAGCCTTTTAAATGAAAAATTCGTAAAGGATTGAGGGATACAACTACTGCATGGGGCCATAGCGCTTGCTGCATCTGTACCATCTGCTATTTTGTGTACTTGTGAATGGCTAATAACATTGCCAGGAAGATTTTACTGATCTCAGTTAGGCGTGAGAAAGAGAATGCAAATGCTGGGAATAATTACTGTACTGTAATTAGTGTAATACTTTGATCTGGCAGGATACAGACTGATTGGCAGATAGTCAGCAAATGGCTCTGTGTTTGTTTTATTAGTTGTTCTTTGAGAAAAACCTGAAAGTGGATTTCATATCCTTAGTTATTTTCCTTAGTTATTTTCAATACAACTCTTTCACACCTCCATGTTAACCTAGGATGATCTTATGTTCAAATTTAATCTAAATACCAAACCTGAAGTATATCTTATATTTTGTTTGCTATGTTTAGGTACTTGAATTTGAAGAGCTAGCAAATAAGCTTTGTAAACCACCCAACCTGTCCTGATCTAAAATATTTGTCCATTAATTATCAGACATTTCGTTTTACATCAAGCTCTCCAGGTAGATCTGACTCTAAGTAATATTTTAGGCATTTATTCAATTCCTGCAAATCAAATATCCTTGGAAGGCAGCACTCTCTTAAATCCCATAAATGTAGTATTTGAAGTTTAGGATTAAACTGTAGCTATTGGAGAACAGTTAAACCAACAGCAATAGACTATTGAACAAAGGAAGGTATCAAAAACCAGGGGTTCGAAAATGGCAGCAGTAACTGTAGGCATGGAGAGTGTTAACCTGATAGCCACAAACTGACTCTGTTACCTTTTGTGGTGTACTCGCTGTGATGCATGGCTCTCCAGGAACCTGGAAGAAACATGTTGTGTTCTGGAAATGCCTGGTGAGTTGCAGGCCAACCGTGGAGGTTGTGATAAAGTGCTGGCAAAATTTCAAACAATTATTGGCCAGTGCTGACCAGTTCTAGAGGAAAAGGCAGTGTGAGTAGGATCTACTTCTGATGAGTGGTGTCAGCTTTGGAAATTGAAGGGCTGATCATGCAGTGAGTACAGCAGCTTGCAACTCAGCAGCTAATGAGGTTGTTTTGTGCCCTTTTCTTTCTTTCTTGTGGAAACGTTCTTGTTTATTTTATCAAGAAGTTATTCTATTATCTTTATTATGATTATAACTTCAATTTAGAAAAGATATGTTGAGTTTTATTTTTTGTTGGTAGAGCACTGTCCCATTGGAATTAACACAATCTCTAGGGAGAAGGGTAGAGGAAATGCAGAAGGATAGAAGGAATACATCTCTCTAAATGCCTTGGCATTTGCACTGCAGATAGTCACCTAAGGTTTCTTTTACATCAATGGAGAGAAATAGAAGTTTTGTGTATAATTCATTTGTTCCATACTAGCCACGTTTTGCAAGTCAAATTGTACTCAGTAAATTTGCACTTACTTTTACAGCCTGTGAAAGGAGCCCAGACAGCTGAGTGAAATTAATGCCATTTAAAGCTATTAGAACATTTAGGGTGAGAGCACTTCTGTCACTGAACTTACATTCTTGATTTATTTCCCTTCTGTTTATTCTTTGTATACTATTCCACCAGTGTAGTATTTTAGCTCTTAAAACCTCAGATTAGTTTAACCAGATAGCATCTTTTTACCATAAGTATTGTTTCAGACAAGAATTGAGGTGTAGACTGATGGGGAAGTTGGAGATATCTGGATCTCAGATCCAAAGCAAAGGCATATGCTGAAATTCTTAATTCCCAAATTCCTTTCAGTGCCTTAATTTAGCCTCACATAAAAAACAGAACCTCACCTGTTTTCTTTCAGTCCTTGAGATACCACATAATAAATATTACCTCCCATTCAGCAGCACAGCATGGAACTGGCTTAGAGAGGCTGTTACAGCTGGTGAGCTCCCTGGAGGCTTTCAGTCACTGCAGTGTCTAAGGAAGCAGCAGAACCCTGCAGAGCTAGAGTGTATATATAGATATGTATTGAGCCTTGTCCTGGTTTCTGTGATTAAAAAAACCTTCTGCCACAGCATTTCCTGTGTTGCAAAAGATCCTAAACATATAATAGCGAATTATATGGTTTCTATGGGATATTTTCTGCTGCTATCTAAGAAATACCAGACATTACAAACCGTAAAAATGAGTATCACATTCCTGAAGCACCCCAGGTCCTTATTCTTGCATCTTGCTTTGGTTGTTACCATGCAGCTCTGGACTCTCTGAAAGCCCACTCCATGCACAGGCAGTGCATACAGGGGTCCCTGCTTGTAGATTGGCTGCAGTGGCCCTTTTCCATGTCTCTTATTCCATTTGCACTTTGGTGGGAAGCAAGGTAGAAAGGTGAAAGAGCCTTTGGGTATGTGTGAAAACGCGGTGCAGCTGTGCACATGCAGTAGGTCTGTGTTTGAGATGGAAGAGGGACTGTACAGCACTCCTCACTTGCTAAACGTTCCTTGGCTTGTCCTAACCAAAGCAGGTTTTGCAAGGAGATGTCCAGAAGAGAGCACGTAACAGCTTTCATCCTTCTGCCTTAACATGAGGAGCAAAAGCAGCAATTAGGCCTGGGGATTTCCCACTCTTCAACTCCAGATCCCAAGATTCTTGTGAAGAACACATGGGGCAATACTTTTCCCACACTGTCCCAGTTTTGGCTGTACCCTCCACTACTTCTACCCAGATGGTGGAACAAGAATTCAAACAAATGAGCAAAGATTTATCCCTCTTTTTTTTTTTTTTTTTTTTTTTTTTTTTTTTTTTTTTTTTTTTTTTTTTTTTTTTTTTTTTTTTTTTTTTTTTTTTTTTTAATCAAAAACAGTAACAGAGGATTTTATTATGAAGTACAGGAATTCATACATTGCATAGGATTTTTGGCAGATTTTCCACTATAATTTCCATTCAGTTTTGTGTGGCAGCACACAATTTGTATATGCTCACCCTGCTTTGACTTTAGCGTGCTTAAAAATAAATTTTTAAATATTCAAGCAAATATTCAACTTCACTTTACTCAGAGGATAACTTCATTGTGTTGCCTTGTTCCTTTCACAGCTTTTGAAGGAAATTACTGGCCAAACATTTTTCTCCAAAAACAGAAAGAATCTCTGCAAAGAAGTAAGTGCCTGACTTGGTATTTAATGTTCACATTCAACTATGAGTGACAACTCATATCAACATCAATTCTATATTGCAGAAGACACTGTAAAAAACACATAATAAAAATCAGTCTTGGCCTCAAGGAGCATTAGTTTTAGAAATTCTGAATGAAGATTTTGCATGTAAAGAGATGGTAAAATGTGTTGTCTCATTCGTAAGTTTAAAGTAAATGGAAAGGGCTTTAGTGTGCCATGCTGAGGTTTTGATGCCTAAGGATGGAAACTGTGAGCAATTTAGTAGCCTTCCACATTTAAAAGTTTGCTATTGGGGTCATTTGTGTGATAAGTTTGATTTTCATTCCTACGTATTACTGCATAGTACTACCTAAAAATTTAGGATATGGATTCTTTTGATATTGCAAAATCCAGGAAGTGAAATAAAGCTCATTCTCCATATGAATTAGACCTATGAAAATGATATTTAAAGATTTCAGGTTAAAGCAAATTTATATGCAAATGAACAATCAGAGTATGGAATACTTCTTTGTCACCTTTACAGCCAGCAGCCAGTGGGGGGTGAGGGTATGGACAGATCTCTGCTTCAACATGGAGCTGTAGCTACTACTGCCACAATTTTGGTAGTTTACCCGTGGTTTTCCCTTAACTCCAAAGAATGGCTTGTGTGCATGCATCCGAATCTGTACACAAAATTAACTCCAGCCACCTACTTACTGTGAATTTGTGCTAGTCCTTCTGAATCTGAGAAATACAAATAGTAAGATACTACTACTAACTTAATCTGTGTAAAAATGTCTTCAGTGCTAAAACACAGGATAATTGGTACATTATAGTTTTAAAGTACTAAAGATGTTAGCTGTCAGAAGTGCCGTTAAAAAGGCAGATACCATTAAAATGCTAACTCATGGTGAATGTTGACAGCAGTGATTGTGGCATTTTCTGCTACAAAGAAATTTTGGTTCTGTCCAAAAGGAGGCTGGAACACGTACTTGGAAACCAGAGCTCAAGGGAGGGATAAAGAAGAAAAATCCCAACAGCCTCACAAAATTCTCTGAACTGAAAATAATTGGAGACTGAGACAGTATCTGTGGAAATATGTATGCTTGACTTAATGGTAGTCTTCCCTTGGGCAATCTGCTAATGATCACTGCTGGTAATCAAACACAGAGCTGCATCAGCCCTTGGTCAGAACCAATACAACTTTTTACACGTCCTTTTCTGAAGAAATGTGAGACACTGACTTCTAAATTTAAGCTTCATTCAACAAATATTTAGTTTTCTATGTCCACGAGCAGAAATAATAAATGTCATCATGCTGTCATGATATACTATATTTTGCATGATATGATGTTCCTCTGCTAAGAAGGGACACAGAGAGCATAAACATCACATTTTCACAAGATGCTTTTTAAATAAGGATGGATATCAGTCCTAGTATTCTGAACATTGTTTCTATCATATTCTATTTACAGAAAATCTTACTAGTAATCTTTAATGTTTGGCATTAAAATACCATGCTTTACTTCTGCATACCCTTAAAAAACAACTCTTGTGTACTCCAAAACTTGTTGCATATCAGTGGTTGGCAACGAAATTCTTCTAGTTAGTCTGGGGAAAATGCAGAGGTGTAAAACAAAACCAATTATATTAGATGCAAATTTATTATAATGAAAAACATGTCTTTACACAGAATAGGCTGAGAGTGGCTTGAGTTAGGTGAATTCTCAATCAGCATAAGCATGGAAATCTACATGAAATTCACCCTAAAAGTAAAAATAGTTGAAGGCTTGTGATCAGACAAAAATTCCCAAATATTCAGCAACTTATCTCTGTCAGCTGTCTGTTCTTACAGCAAAAGGAACAACAGAGCATGGATATGACAGATTAAAAGAAAATTCCATTATATGAATTAATAAGAGAAGTGAACACAAAAGACAAACATATAATCTAGTTTTAAACTTCCTTGAGTTATTGACACTCCCATTTGTTATTTTTCTTTGATAAGATTTAAATAAAAACAAATACACTGAACACACTCCTGTATTTAAAGAAAGGGGCACCTATTGCACTCTGACTGTTGTGCAACCCCAGATAATCTATCCTTGGCACACTCTGGGGTTTGGTGGCCAGTATCACTTAAACATAGAATAAACCAGCTGGACTTGGGCATGAAGGACCAATGGTAACAATTAGATGATTCCTATTTTCCAGTCAGACCTTCAGAACAGAACAGAAGTTTGGAAGAGGAATACTTTTTGCCAACAGGTAACAGCTCATTGGGAAACAGTATTTTCTACATGACCTGGATGAAACCAGTAGCATTCTGTAATAATTTGATCACTCCTTTGGAGTTAAAAAAAAAAATCTTTTGGCTTTAAAACAATGAATATAAATTGTAGGTAAACCTTGCTAAATTTAGCTGATACTTTGTGGCTCTGAGTTATATTCTAAGATACCTGACACCATAAGCAAAAATATGACATAGGACACCATAAGCAAAAATAAAAAATGAAAATTAACAATCTGAGTCTGGAAATATAAAACCAAGGACGTGATTTTAGTTACTTCAGTAGAACTATCAGCTTCAAAGGGACTGTTCAAATGCTGTAAGTAGGTACAGAACTTTTTACAACAAGCGCTGGAGTTGTGTCTCTTTTTTTTAGGGTTCATTTCCACCTCCAAAAATCTGTCTATTCCAATGAAAAGTTCAGATTACTTCTTAAAAATGAAAACTGATTAAAATGTTCCTTGTATTTATAAAGCTGGTAGAAAGTTTGTCATACAAATACAGAGCCAAAAAAGTGGGGATTGACAATTTGGACATCTAATGATTGACTGTGCAATTACTTATGATACAGTAATGCCATAGGTAGTTTGGTAAATGCTGTGTCTGAGATGTTAAAAGTATCTCCAATAGCAAGTTGTCACCTTTGCAAACAAATCAAACAGACTGAAATAAGAAAGTAAATCTTTATATTACTCATGAAGGAGTTGGGATAGATAAAATTCTGAGATTCCAAAAAAAAAAAAAAAAAAACCAAAAAACCAAAACAAACAAACAAACACCACCAAAAATAGAAGACTAGAATGTTGTTTACAGAATTAATCTGAGTGGAAACTTAATAGCTTCTGCTACTATGTTTATTTGAAATGCCAGTCAGAATGAGCAAATATGCTTTTAGGAGACCTAAATCTGTTTTTCTCTCTCTTTTATAGTTTTGAGCAAGGATTCCTGTTCTACGTGGGGTGGAGGGCATTTTTCAACCTTTGATAAATACCAGTATGACTTCACTGGGACTTGCAACTATATCTTTGCAACTGTATGTGATGAAACCAGCCCGGACTTCAACATTCAGTTCCGCCGTGGGATGGACAAAAAAATCGCAAGGATCATTATTGAGCTTGGACCTTCTGTTGTCGTTGTTGAGAAAGGCAGCATTTCTGTCAGGAGCGTTGGGTAAGATTCTGGGATGAATAGGAAAAAAGTGTTTAGAGAAGGCAAGGAATTATATAGCAGTTACAGTAGATGACTATTTTGCTTTAAAAATTAATTAACAAATCACTGAAGTTAACACACCTAAGTGGGCTCTGTTCCTGTTGCTTCCCATCAAGCATTCGCACTCTCTAGATGAGTATTGCATTTGCACTTATTTGAATCAAGCTTAGAGTACATTTGTGTAGGCAAAGGGATAAACTAATCTCCTCAGACCAAAACAGTTCTCAAACTGTAACTACAGTTTCCTAGATACTACCAATCTGCTTAGCCTTATCTCTACTACAAGCCCAGATGAAACAGCTTATACCCCTTAGTAGATACGAGTTGAAATCCCTGTGTTTAGAGTTCATTTGACTGAAATAACTCTGAACACTCTGTGCTAAAGGTAACACATATGTGGGATATAAGAGAAACTTTGAACTCTGCAACCCACAGAGAAATACTGGGTATGTTCATTCCTCTAGACAAATTGCTCCCATACAAGGAAATTTCTCCAGGGAAGTTTTCAGCATTCTTATCAGATAGGCAATGTTGAATTTTTATCTCTGAGTAGGTGCAGATACAGGAAATAATTGACTGTGGATTTTCTGTATCTTATTATACTTACCTGGGCACAGTAACTATCACAACAAAAGTACGATTTGCACTATACCTTAATTTAGCAGACTGTATTTAGAAAAGCTTCCTTTTTTTAGATTGTTTTCCAGAAAAACTAAATCTATGGGCCTATTTCAGTGATCTGCATTTTAAATTTTTGACCTACAGTCACAAGAACCAAATGCCATGAGCTGGTCTAATGTTGCACATAGCCATGCTTCAGGTGGAAGGCTGCTTTGGTCTTTCAGCCCCTTCTCGTGATTGTACCAGTGAGCACTTAGCAAAATGTATTTCTTCTTTAATGTTGTTAGTTTGTAGCATTAAAATTACTCTGCAAGGATGAAAACCTAATTCTGCTACAACATTTACATAAAATGTGTTTCTTTAATCTTGTCAGTTTTCAGTCACAGCAGTAATTCCTTTGTTAATGGGCTGTAGTACGTGGAGTCTGTTCAGGATAATCAACAATAGTTGTACCACAAAACTTTACTGTTAGAAGTTCTTGAGAAATACAACTATACCCTGATAAAAACAAACCAAGTGAAGAAGCTAAGTCCTGTGTAGACATTTTCACTAGTATAATCCCTATGCAACCATCTTCTGATGATTCTTCTATGAAACTGCTGGTAGATATTTTCAATCAACAGAAATTTTAACATATCTTAAAATGTCACAGCTACAAAGGAAAAATGTTCTGTTTCAAATTGCCACAAGTACTCAGACTGTACGTGTTTCATATAAAAAAACTCAAAAAACAAACAACTGATTCCTGCATATTATTGATATGAGAGGGTCAGTTTGTCTTCTTGCCTTATTACAGAATTATTCAGTTGCCTTACACCAGCAATGGAATTCAAATAGCGCCTTATGGGCACAACATCCGCCTGGTCGCCAAGCTGATGGAGATGGAACTAGTTGTCATGTGGAACAATGATGACTATCTCATGGTTAGTAAAATGTTCTCATAAAGCAGAAAAGTAATACTACCACTTTAGTCTCCAGAGCAATAGAAAATGGAGTAATTTTTTCTGAAAACAGATTTTCTTCCTGTAACCTTCAGTTTCTTAAGAGAAGAAACCTGAAATTCATGCTCTGTCAACAAAGATATGAGCAAGGATACAGCATCATTTCCTTTTTTTACTTTCTTTTCTGATTCCTTAAAATATTATACCCCCCTCCTTAGTTCTCTGGAAGCATCTTCAAATCTTATTCTTTTATTAAATAAATAAATAAATAGATAAATCAATCAACCAATCACTATTTGCCTATTGGGAAAAGACATTGCTACTTGCAGAACTTTTCCTCCAAACAAGTCATTGAAATTAATGAGCAGAATCACCTTAAGCTGTATCCTTGAACTGAATTTGTTTGAGTAAGTTAATGCTGTATAGATAATTTCACTCAGGGTGATCCTTTTAAATGTTTCATTCCATTTTAATTTAGGTTTTGGCTGAAAAAAAGTACATGGGCAAAGTCTGTGGAATGTGTGGAAATTATGATGGTTATGAATTGAACGAATTTGTGCGTGAAGGTAAGATACAAGGACATTTCACGTGGAAGGAAAACTGGTTAAAGTGAGTCAAGGTGAAAGATTAATACTGAAATAGTGTTGCTCTGACCGCTTACTCAGTTTCAGAACTGAGTAAAGCAGTTCCAGAGGTTACCAACATACCTGTTTTATGATTATGATACACACTATTGTCTGCTATGAGCATAATAGTGTGGGTTCCTCAGACAAGTGATAAGAACTCTCTTATATTTTAGAAACAGGTGGTAACGGTCACACTCTCCCAAATTTCACAAAGACTAAGCTCATAGCAAGGCACAGTGAGGGAAATAATTACTATAAGCAGAAGCAATAATGAGGCAATGATGAGAAGAATATAGTGAACAAGAACATTAATGAGCAGTGTGTCTCAATGATTGTAGATCTTTATAACAAAATGGTGCTGAGGAATTGACAACTGTACTCTGTCTGGTTTAGGGGGTTCACTTTTGAATCACTCTAAATCTGGTCTGTTGATCTATTGCCCATTAGTAGTTGTAGCTTGTTACTCAAGCTCTTGGAATGTATCTTCCATCTTGGTTTAATCTTAAAGGCACTCCATATAACAAGACCACTCCACAACAGGAAGAAAACAAAAGGGGATGTTTGAAATATTTGCTTTAGAAGCACACTGCTAATCTGAACTGTAGTGCTAGTGTGGAGACATTGAATTGCACAGTAAACTAACCTTAGATCAACACAGACAGATGCAGTTTTCCATACACTTCACAGAAATGAGTTCTAAAAATTATATAATAATTTTTGGGTTGTGGTGAGTTTAACCCCATATATAGGGGAAGATATAAGAATGGGGGATAAGGAGAGGAGGTGTGAATTAACAGCTGGCAAAAGATAACACAGCTGGCAGAAAACCTGTAGCAGCATGTAAGGTAGCAGATGTGATAGATTGGGAAATAACTTGAAGAAATGGTCACAATAATAAAGAATGCTCTATTTAATAGACTCCAGGTAAAGGGCAAAAGAGGCAGTTGTTGTCATTGGGAAAATTCATTTGTAGAACATTCCACAGTCAAAGAGTAGACTTTGAGTTTTGCTACATCACAGTAACAAGTAAACAAATCAATGTGGGCTGTTTCCTGACAAATTATAACCCTTCAATTTACAGGTAAATTGCTGGACACATACAAATTTGCTGCATTACAAAAAATGGATGATCCATCAGAGATCTGCCTGTCTGAGGAGATACCAATTTCCACCATTCCTCACAAAAAATATGTAAGAAAGATCTTCTGGGCTTCTCTGTAGTGTGATTCTTAACAGAGGGGGAAAGATAGGTAGAAATCAACAACAGAGAGGCAATGATTTCATAAAACTGACTTCCATGAAAAAAAAACATAAAGTCAACATTTGCGTAGCCTGAAACGAGAAAGACAATGAGTTCTTTCCTTTAAAATACATTTTAATAAAAGCCCATGGGCATTTTTGAGGCTGGATTTATATCACTCGTAAAAACCAACCAGCATTTTTCTCACACCTTTCTGAATTTTCGTCCAGGTCATCGCAGGAAATTCAGGGAAATCAGTGAAGCTTTAATAACTTTTTAGAGACTTGACATTATAAGATGTACAGACTTGAAGACATTCACTATGCCTAAAACATGTTGTCAGATAACAGCACTGATAACAGGGAAAACCACTTTGAACTGCTATCACTTACAGTTCTAGATGAAAAGAAAGTCAGCGTGCCTGAGAGTCTTTAAGACCTTATGCTGCAGTAGCCAATGTGACAAGGAACAACTTTCCTTCTCTTTTTATTTAGGCCCTGATCTGCTCTCAGCTGCTTAATTTGGTGTCCCCAACCTGCAGCGTGCCAAAGGATGGGTTTGTCACTCGTTGCCAGCTGGATATGCAGGACTGCAGTGAGCCAGGACAAAACACCTGTGCTTGCTCTACACTGTCAGAATATTCAAGGCAATGTGCTATGTCCCACCAAATGGTGTTCAACTGGAGAACTGAAAACTTCTGTTGTAAGTTCAAGTGGTTTATTCGTGAGAGGCTGTGCTCAGCTTTTCTGTGTCTTAAATACAGGGATAATGATAAATAACTGGAATATAAAACAACTGATAAAAAAAGTCTCTACTGTCTTGAATCGAATGTATTTTCTTAAGAGAACAACAGTAGTCTTTGATAAAATAGTAATAAGGAGTGCAAGGAAACCTCAAAGGAGAAGAGGGCAGCTTGAAACATAGCTCTTATGTCTAAATCAGTGACAATAAAACAGAGGAACACCCACCAATTGAACACTGTTTAATTTTTCAAACTTGCAACAGGAGGTTGTTCTCTTTAAAAATTTTAACACTTCCTCTGTTTGTTGCAGCTGTGGGAAAATGTTCTGCGAACCAAATCTATGAGGAATGTGGTTCTCCATGTATTAAAACCTGTTCCAACCCAGAGTACAGCTGTTCCAGTCACTGTACCTACGGTTGCTTTTGTCCAGAAGGTATCATTTCATCATATTCTAAATGAATGACACAAATATTTTTTTTTTGCATATATCCACTCAAGTGGAATGGACTGCTTAATAATGAACTAGCCATGCATTTCGGGGCATTGTGCTGCTAGAACTGCTACTTCTCATGTAACATAATATAACTGGAGTCTTGATTAATTACAATCCTTAAAGATGCTTGGTCACTATGTGCAAGAACAGAGGTATGAAATCGTTTTCCTCACAAAACCATGATTTGTTATGGGATAATGATGTGCTGCCTGCTCAAAGTTCTCTACTATATTATACATTGAGTAAGCTTAATTAATTTCTTATCCCAAATGGGTATCTAGCCCTTAAGGGCATCAGCAAGAGGTAGGACACCTCAGATGATTTCTGCAATATTATGAGCATTCCGTAAGTTCCCTTTGAAATAGATCAAGATGAACTTCCTTCAAATATTGTAATTATTACTGTCATGTGCATTGTTTCTTGAAATTTCAGAACTGAAATATCCTCCAGTGGGGGCATTTACATCAGTATCATCACCACTTTATAGCAGTCAAAAGTAATGTGTTGTGAGTTACACATTTAAAACTAGACGTAGTACTCTAGGAAATATAATGTTTTTGTTCTTCAAAATTCCCAAGTTAATTTAGAGTGTCATAGGAAAAAAAAAAAAAAAAAAGGAAAACATAAAAATAATATTATAGCTTACAGTTTTTTCAAATTAGGTTCAAATTTCAAAATAAGACAATTGTCTGCACTTTCATACTAGAAAGCAGTCAGACACTGTGAAGAGTCAATTTTATTTTAATTAGGAGAAATGTTCCTGTATATTGTATATTTAAGTATGGGCACTCACTGTGGAAGAGTAGCACACTCAAGCTAATCTCAGAAAGTGCTCAAGCTTTAGTGCTAAGTAAGGATGTGGGAAAGTATTTTGTTTCTCCTTGGCAGGAACTGTTCTGGATGATATCTCCAAGAACCGAACGTGTGTTCACATTAGCCAGTGTCCATGTACACTGAATGGGAAAACATACGCTCCTGGGGAGACAATGAAAGCAACATGTAGGACCTGGTGAGTAGCAACGGGTATTTTTATGAGAGATCACCAAGTTATTGGAAAATTTAGCCTAACTTTTCAGAGGGCAGCTGCAAATGTGTCATACCATCTCTGAGGCCACCTTCTTTCAGTACCACATATCCTACATTTGTGATTGAAGTCAGACATGTCTCGTTTCATGATTGATCCGTACAAACAAAAATACTCCTTCAGACCACACAAAACAGTAGTATTTATATCTCCTCTTTGAAAGTCCAGGTAAACTTAGTACAAAACAAATATCCAGTGTTTACGATTTCTCTTTGGAAATCTCAGTGTTTCTGATCACCAGATCAGTGCTGAAAACTAAATTTCTGTTTTGCAACAGAAAATAATACGAGAATATTTTTTAAAATTCGAATCATTTTTTTCGGTGTCATGTGTCTTGTTATCATAATTCTAATACAGAATTTAAAGGAAAAATAATGGGATTTGATCCTCAGAAATGCAACAATGAACACACTTTTCATGATTCAGCAACATTTACTGACAATCCATACAAGAGTTCAACAACTCTGAATTGAGATGAACATCCTCAACTGATACACATAGATAAAGAAAATCAAAACATAGAAAGTATAAGGGAAAAAGTGGTACAAATGACATATTCCATTACTAGGAAGTAGCTGAGTTTTTAGGTCTAAAGAAAATTCCAAAGTACTGAAAATGAAAGTTCAGAATGTAAATGTATGTTACTCTCTGTTCACTAACCAATTTTGCATGTTGATCAGCTACAGAGAAACCTCCAGACAGGAGGATATCAAATCCTCAGCTGGTAAACAGGGCCTTAGTACGAGAATAACCTTACACAGAATTTCTTGTTTTCCACAGTAAATGTATGATGGGCCAATGGAACTGCAAAGATTTGCCCTGTCCTGGAAGGTGTTCACTGGAAGGAGGCTCCTTTGTTACCACGTTTGATTCTAGGTCATATAGATTCCATGGGGTTTGCACTTACATTCTCATGAAGGTAACTTCCTGCAGTTTAAAACCACCAAATATCAAATGGTATCTTAGTCTGTCTTGTTTCCTATTGAAACACAAACTGAGGTCTTCCTAAGATATACATTGATTCTACAAATCAGCATTATTCTGACACAGACTTCTCTTTTCACTGTTTCCCTCCAGAGTTCCAGCCTGCCACACAATGGAACCCTAATGGCTGTGTATGAAAAGACTGGTTATTCTCATTCTGAGACGTCACTTAGTGCTATAATTTACCTGTCCTCAAAGGTAGGTATTCCCTCCACAGGTTCCATCCAGCATTTCAGTAACCAGATAAGCAAAACAGGTTCCTAAAGTCATTGCTAGTAGCCTGAGGTGGAAAATTATGGGGAAATAGATACTCAAGATATGTTCCTGCTCATGCACACACAGTAAAGATCTCAGTTACTACATCAACTCAGGAAGTTAGAGTATTTTCAAAGTTAAAAGTAAAAGCAGTACATATTAATATGTGACAAAATGCTTGAATCAGTTTTTTCCTATTAATTGACAATATAGTTGTTTATGTTAGCATATAAATACCATCAGTACAGATAATTACACCTGCTTCCATGTCCTCTTCTTACAGGACAAAATTGTGATTTCTCAGAATGATCCCCTCACAGATGATGATGAACTTAAGCGGCTGCCTTACAGATCAGGTAAAAAAAGGGGAATGTAAGTTATTCCCAAATTCCATTAAATGTCTGGTTTATACAACCTAGCATCCTTTGCAATTTTCAGTTGCTGATACCAGAGGTTTTAGAGGAAGGTTAAAGTCTTTCCTATTGGATCTGTTCCTCTGTGGAGAGTTGTGTGTGAGAGAAGAGTTGTAGACAGAATTCTAGAACACTTATATATGCATTAAAATCATCACCAAAATATTTATTTCTAAATGTCCTTGTTCTTTTAGGAGACATCACTGTTTTCAGACAGTCCTCAATGTACATTCAAATGCATACAACCTTCGGGCTGGAACTTTTAGTTCAAACATCACCTGTGTTCCAGGCCTATGTGAAAGCTGGATCACAATTCAAAGGCAGAACTTTAGGTAAGTAATCGAGACACTGTGTGAAGGAGAAAATGTAGGAAGTATAATTTTGAAAACTTAGTACTTGTCCTTTAAGAAATACGTTGTCTTCTCTGGATTTGAAATAAAAACACCTGCATTGGAAATCAAATGTGCCAAGAAAATCTTTTTTTTTTTTTTTTTGCTAATAACTTTAAAAAAATTAAAGAAATTAAATGGGCCACATTTTTCATGCGTAATACGAGATACTGTTCTTTACATGTTTTATGTGTGCCTTTTTCAATATGTGTTTTGCTCCAGAGTGAAGGAGCAACAAATAAGTCTGTGTGATCTCTACATCTTGGAGCACATGGTTCTTTGAATGTAGTGCACTATCACTGTAAACACAATGAGCCTAAGACTCTAAAAGCTTCTCAGCAGATAAGCACCAGATGGAGAAGTTTATGTTTATTGCACAGTGACATTAGCCACACAGGCATATTTTGCATTCTGATTATGGGGAATTACAGAGAGGCTTTAGCTTTTACAGAAGTCTAAATGCATATTCTTTGTCATTACGGATTTTACATGCATAAGAAAACATGCAGTTGCAAAAGTGTTTCATGGCCTTTCTCTTTTATATCATTTCAAACTGCTTGTTGCTAAAAACAAGACAAAAACTTCTTTGTGAATTTGTCATTGAATAGAAGTCAACACTCTTAAGTTGAGGAGGCAAAAGACCAGTGACTAAATGTGTACAGAATCAAGATTCTCTGGGTACTTGACCTATAGTATTCACTGACACTCTGCATAGAGCTTTTGAATCAATTGTATCACTATTACAGAATTAAATATAGGCCTCTGTGTACACTTTCTTTAATCATAATCCATCTTTTGCATTTCTAATATTATTAGGTTTATGTGGCAATTACAATGGAGACACTACAGATGACTTCATGACTAGCATGGATATCACTGAAGGGACAGCCTCCCTGTTTGTAGATTCCTGGAGGGCAGGAAACTGCCATCCTGCTTTAGAGAGAGATACCGATCCTTGTGCTTTGAGTCAACTAAACAGTAAGTAGATGATCCTGTTGTAACTGATCTTTCCAGCTGTCTTTGTCTGACACTTTCATAAACTCATGCCAGGGAAATGAGAGAGTTTGATAGAAACAGAAACTGAGACAATTGATTGTCACAAATTTTGTCACCAACGAGACATTTCTAATTTCTAGAGATCTGGGATTGAGATGATGAATAAGAATGAGAGGGTTTTGGTGATCTATACAGTAAAATTGCAATGTCCATGGACGTCTTAGGCTCACGTTAAAGTACTGTGATTGAAATCCAGACTTTGCCTTCCCAAGTTTCTATTGTTATTGGTCATTAAAAAAAAAAAAAAAATAATTAAAAAAGCCCTACTGAGCTGTTAGTACAAAAACAGAGTATGGAAGCTAACAAGTTAAGACGTCCTGTTGTTCAATCTGTCATTGCCAAAAATTCACCTGGACTAATGCATAATTTTTTTTCTTTTTTTTTTTCCTGTTTTTCCCCCTAACTTTCTATTTTTAATGTTCATGATTTATTCTCATCAGAAATATCTGCTGAGACTCATTGCTCCATTCTTACCAAGAAGGGTACGGTGTTCGAGAAATGCCATGCTGTGGTCAACCCTATTCCTTTCTACAAGGTAGGAATTTATGACAGACATTGTACAGAGGGAGTCCAAATATAAACCAGATTGTGCTCGTAGACAGTATCCCATACATTGAATCTGCAATGCGTAGGAGCCAAGGAGCAGGTGTGGTTTTGAAAATTATGTCTCCTCCACACTGAAAGTCTGTTTGTTCAAAGGCACCAGTCCCATCCCTGTGACTCAGAAGGTATTTTTGCTCATATGGCAGTTGTCCATGGCAACTTTAGCTATTCAAAGTATTGATTTTACCGTGGGCATAATTTAGTTCATTTTATTTGCCAATCTACACAAAAGATTTTGAAAATTAAAAATGAGAATAAACGAAGCGAGTGAACAAAGGCATTTTTTAGATATTAAGTATATTTTATTTACATCAGCAAAGCAATTACTCAGATATTTTCCATTGGTTTTAGTTATTCAATTCTGTGTATTTTATCTGAGTTAACTCTGCAATTCAGCATAGAATCACAGAGGTTGGAAAAGATCTTTGAGATCATAACACTGCCAAATCCATCACTAAACCATGTCCCTAAGTGCCACATCCACACATCTTTTAAGTACCTCCAGGGTTTAGCACTTCCAGATGTCTGCTCCCCAGTAACAAAGTATTCTCCATGTATTGGGTTTCAGAGATGTGTCTACCAGGCCTGTAACTATGAAGAGACCTTTCCTTACATTTGTTCTGCTCTGGGATCATATGCACGAGCGTGCAGTTCCATGGGTTTAATCCTTGAGAACTGGAGAAGCAGCATGGACAATTGTAGTAAGTAACTGAACCAGCTCTTAAAGAGTCTGCCATCAGATGAATGCATGCATACAGATCTGCCTGTTTCTGTTTAGAGTATTCCTGTGTTTGATCCACCTGAGACAGAATTGAGTAAGAACAAGAATGTATTTTAAAACAAATTGTCAGTGTTCAGAAAAAAGAACTACGTATTGCTCAAGGAGGTCAACAGCCTATGGTATAAAATGGTATAAAAAAACGTTTTCCCGGGAGCTGCTGGCATCACAGATGTGTCAAAACATAACAAAAAAATCCCCCAAAGTGGCAATGCAATATTTGAAACAGTGTCCAAATCATCTTAAGAGTAATGAGGAAAATAGTGAACAGAAAGAAGAGAAAAGCAGAAATGGGATAAGAGATACCCAACTTTTGAATATCCTTCTAGTCTCTTTCAGAGAAGGATTGTGATTTTAGAGTATATGAAGAAGATTATTCATATGCTTTAAGGTGAGCATGTGGATGCTTCCAGGATTTGATAATTAAGTGATGGAACAGACAGATAAATAAAGTTATACTGTACTGTAAAATGAGAAGGAACTAGGAAAAACTCTTGAGTGCAGATTTGATTTTGTTTTTATGCAACTTAGGTACAGGTTTCACAGTTATTGATATTTCTGCAAAGCTTCTCTTTGCATTATTTTATTCCAAGATACACGAAGAGGCAGATACATAGTTAACCTTCCTGAAAGTTCCAAACAACTCAACCTTCATGAAACTGCCAAACAGCCACATGGTTGGTGTTAAGCACTGGTCTGCAACACCTTTTGCTAGAGCTCCATATCTGTAGGAAGAGAACCTGCTGGAAGCATTAAGCATTGAAACTGTTGACACAAAATAAGCAGCACGTGATGAGCACAGTTACCTTTCACAAGGAAGCGGATCAGTAAATGAAGTTTAACATACACTCTTGTTTTACAGCCATTACTTGCACTGGCAATCAAACATTCAGCTACAACACTCAGGCATGTGACAGGACATGCTTGTCACTCTCCAACCGAGCCCTGGAATGCCACCCAACTGATATTCCTATTGAAGGCTGCCAGTGTCCTGAAGGACTGTACTTGAACCACAAGAACGAGTGTGTTCGTAAATCTCATTGTCCCTGCTATTTAGAAGACAGAAAATACATCCTGCCTGACCAGTCAACAATAACTGGTGGGATCACCTGGTAAGTGTGTCAAGTTTAAAGCTTAACAACCTGGAAATGGAGTTGAGGGGTCTTCATGTGTCTCTGCTGGGGGTTAAGGTCAGTAAGCAGCTAAGCACCACACAGGCTGCTCACTCCACTGCAGCCAGATATGGAAAAAAATCAGAAAGGAAAAATCAAGGAAGTTTATGGGTTGAGATATAGACAGTTTAATAAATTTCTTTATTATTAAAACGCAAAAAAGCTTTTTTAATAAGTGAAGACAATGTGCAATCAAAGCCAAGTAAGAAGTTAGTTCAGGACTTCCCCTCAGCAGGCAGCTGCTTAAGACATTTCCAGGAAAGCATGAATTTGTCATCCATAATGCTTTCTTGGGAAGACAAGTGCTGGATCTCCAAAAATCCTTTCTTCCTCCTTCTTTACCTGAGCTTTTATTGCTGAGTTTGATGTAGTATAGTATGGAATATCTCTTTGGTCAGTTTGGGTCAACTGTCCTGGCTGTTCAGCTGTAGCTAGAACAGCATTGTGTTATCAACACTGTTTTGGTCACAAATCCAAAATATAGCAGTGTTGATCTGCTACAAAGAAAATTAACTCCATTCCAGCCCAAACCAGTTTAGACTGCTTTATTTTTAATAGGAAAAATTTATTTTTCAAGATGTCTCTTTCGCTTTTTCCTAAACCACAAATATCCTTAAATGAACAAAAAGCATTTTACTTATTTTAAGCTTGAAAATGTTACAGAGAAAAATAGAAAATATTAGGTTAGGTCTGATTATTCCTAGTAGAAGAATTTGTCAACAGCACTTGGACAGCTATATACAAACTTCAAGAATGACTTGATGGACCATCATAATAGTGATGATTGCCTACTAGTGATAATAGTGAGAATAGCCTACCATACACTTCCAAAACTAATGTTACTGTAATAAAAAAAGTAAAGAGAAAAGTTGACTCATGTTCCATTTCAAAGGATGGGAAGGAGCTAGTAACATAAATATTTATAATAAAGTTATTTTGCAAAAAAATAAAAATTTCTTTCTTGGGAGAGATTTGCATTGAATTGTTTTTCTTTCTCCCTAGCTACTGTGTTAATGGAAGGCTAAGTTGCACAGGCAAACCTCAAAATCCTGCAGGTATGGGTCTAATATGGTTTACTTAGAAGCATGTTTTTTTCCCCTATGTTGTAAAATTACTACTTCACGATCTTTTCAATGTTTGTTTTTGTTCCTTCTCCCTAGAAAGCTGCAAAGCTCCTAAGAAATACATATCGTGTTCCGACAGTTTAGAAAACAAGTATGGAGCTGCATGTGCCCCTACGTGTCAGATGCTGGCTACTGGCATTGAATGTGTGAGTTTCACAGAGCTGGCATGTTTATCCTCTTGCGAGAGGTAGAATGTTCTAGTTGTTGCTTGGAACTTTATTACATTCCCTCTAATGAGATAAGAGGAGATATTTCATCGAGCATGAGACAGTTAAACATCAGGCTTCTTTCCCCAGACTGCGAACACAAAAAAATGTACATACATTTAAGAAGTGATTAAAGGAATTATATTGCATGAATTAATGAATCAAACTATATTAAATGAATAGAATAAAAGTCCATTAAGGATTCTTAACTACATGGCTGTCACCTTTGACTCAGGTACTCCATAAGCTGCATGTTATGCTTCTTTTTCTGTTTTTGCTCAACTCTCTGCTGCTGCCAGTCACAGAATGCAGGAGACCTGGGCCAGCGGAACATCTGGGCTGTTCTGATGGGGTTTTCTTATAATTTTATGTTAAGCAAACAGACTAATTGGAAGAATTGTAATAAGCTTCCTTGATATAAAGAAACTTCTCTTTGTACACTTTCTGAAAAAAGACCAGTAGTAAAGGAAGATCAATTTTTAGATCTTCAGGTTTAATATCCCACACCACAACTATATCTTACAACTTCAGTGAAACTGCTTCATTTGACTAGCACATTAGTACAAGGAACATCACAAAACTAAGATCAAGTCAAAACAGATTTTAGCACAGGTTCACTCTCGACACCATTCACATCCAGGGTAAAAATACATTTCACGGTTCTTTTCATTTTGCAATCTCTTGACCTTTACCAGATACCGACTAAATGTGAATCAGGCTGTGTCTGTGCTGATGGCTTGTATGAAAATCTCGATGGCAAATGTGTCCCAGCTGAGGAGTGTCCATGTGAATATGGTGGCCTTTCGTATGGAAGAGGTGAACAAATCCAAACTGAATGTGAGATCTGGTAAGAATCACGTACTTTTTCATCGCAGAACCTCTGTCTCACTAAACTGTACAACCACATAAAAAAAAGAGTTTAGTTGACAGGAGAGTAGGAAATGGCAACAGCTGAATGGAAGAAACACCGTGGCAAAGTACAGGGATTAAACAGAGAAAATCTTAATATTTGTATAACATATGTATAGATAAAAGAGTCATGGTACCAGCTTCAGGGATAATTTCTGCCTTATGCATATTCAGGAATAAGGGCATCCAGTAGGGCCTGTAACTGTAAACTACATAAAGTCAATGATTATTCACAACTCCACATAAATAAATATGAGGGCATAGTTTTTCTTCTTTTCTGTAGATAAAAGCAAATTCCCCCTCAAATATTGTTTCCATCTTCTCAGCAGCATTCTCAAAGTACTTTATTCCATTTTCAGTTACTAATCTAGTATTAAAAAAACACCACCACTCCCCAAACTACACAGAACAGTGACTTCTGTTCTCATTAGGAGCAAAAATAAATGGGTTTTATATACTATTACCTTCAGGAAAATAAAAAGGCAAAAATAATTTACGGTTTCTTCTTTATCATGAATTCATTTTCTAGGCAGTCCATTTTAATTAGGGTCCTTTATATTAACTGTAACTTGGTCTCAGTGTACATAAATCAATTAAATTAACATCTTCTTTATAAAAGTGGATGTATATAAAAAGAAGCAGATTAAGGTGGCATTTCTTTGAAGTCTGAGTATGGTTTCTCTTCTCACTCCCAGCACTTGCACAAAAGGCAAATGGAAGTGTGTTCAGAAATCAAGGTGTTCCTCAACGTGTAACCTGTACGGAGAAGGCCACATCACCACTTTTGATGGACAGCGCTTTGTGTTTGATGGCAACTGTGAATACATATTAGCTACGGTAACCTGCTTCCTACTGGTGATTTTGGCAGTATCTTAGCATCAAGAAATAGCTTGATTTAAATGACTAATGAAAATGGGATGTATCAATAACCAGTAGACCACTTTGGATCTTTATAGCCACTTAATGATTTTTTTTTATAATCTGTTTATTTCAGTGCTTAAGATGAAAATACTTTACTTCTCAAACAGCTTTTTAATGCAATTATAACCAATTTTAGATTTAATAACATGTTTAAATAGTCATTGATATGTATGTATTCTGTACCAGACAACTGTATGCTTTAGGGAAGTGATGTCTGACAACCAAAGCAGAGGTCATCACTCCCAGAACAGGCAGAATCAGTCAGGACATTTTAAGCTTTCTTTATTTTCTTATGCTTTTATATTTTAAGTTGGAATACTCCAGACACAGAATCTATTGGGGTTTTATGCTTTTTGTGGTTTGTTTTGGTTTTTCAGGATGGCTGCAGTATTAACAGACCTGTTTCCTCTTTCAAAATTGTTACTGAGAATGTCATCTGTGGGAAATCAGGAGTTACATGCTCCAGATCCATCAGCATTTACCTTGGGGTAAGCTCTTTCTTCAGCCACTATCCAGCTAAATATTTACTTTAAGACCACATCGGATGTGTGAACTGCACCCTCAGCTTGGCGTGATCTGAAAATTTGCTGAGAGTGCATTTGATCCCACAGTCTGTGTCACTGATGAAAATATTAAACTGTACTGATCCCAGGTGCCTGAGGGACACCACTCCTTACAGAGCTCCATCTGGACTTGTAGCTATTGATCACTCCCCCCTAGATGCAGTCATCTGTCCAATCCCTTACCCACCAAACAGTGCACCCATTAAATATAAATATACCTCTCCAATTTAGAGAGGAGGCTGTTCTGGAGGGCCCAGTCAAAGGCCTTACTGAAGTCCAGATAAACGACATCTGTAGCTGTTCTCTTGTCCACTTATGTAGTCACTCTACCACAGAAGGCCACTCAGTTGGTCAGGCAAGATCTACCCTTGGTGAAGTTGTACTGATTCTCTCAAATCACCTCCTGTCCTCTGTGTGCCTTAACACAGCTTCTAACAGGATCTGCTCCATGATCTTTCCAGACACAGTGGTGATGCTGTCAGGTTAGTTGCTCCCAGGGTCCTCCTTTCTACCTTTTTAAAAAAATGGGTGCAATGTGTTTCCCTTTTTTCTGACTGCCAGGACTTTTGAAAAATGAGTGGAAATATCAAGATAGTCTGTAATAGTATCACAGGTTCTGATCTTCAGCAATGTGACACAGAGTAAGGAAAATACTGAAACTTGGTAAGTTATAATTTCTAGATAAATTTTCTTGCAGAATTTGACAATCATACTGAGAGATGAAACCTTCACTATTTCTGGGGAAAATCCTAGTGTGCGATATCACGTGAAAAAGAACGCCCTCCACCTGATGTTTGATATCATTATCCCAGGAAAATACAACATGACCCTTATTTGGAATAAGCACATGAACTTCTTCATCAAGATCTCCAGAGGAACACAGGTATGGCAGAATAACTTCCTCAGCCAAGTGTCCTTCAACTCAGATTGAACTGCCCATTTGATCGCAGTTGCCTTGACTCTTTATGATAGCAAAGGTTCTTCAAAAGTGCTACTAGCAATTAATTTCATCTTTATCTCCAAAACAGCAGAGATTTTCACTAGAGGCTGATTTTCAAGTGATTTCTGTACTGCACTCAGGAAATTTTTGAGCTAAATGTTTGTATTCTATAGAACTGCATGGTTGAATTTGATCTCTAAATGATGACAGTTTGCAGTTCAGAAAACATGTTCCTCCAGTGACAAACAAAACCTCATTCACAAGAAGCTAAGAATGTATGACAGAGTATTTGTAGATGACATTCACTCCTAAAGCACGGGAAACCATCAGTAATCGAAAGGGAAGGTGAGTAATTGTAACTTGCTGAACTGACACTGCTGCTTTCATTTGTTTTAGGAAACTATATGTGGTTTGTGTGGGAACTATAATGGCAACATGAAGGATGATTTTGAAACTCGAAGCAAGTACGTGGCATCAAACGAATTGGAATTTGTCAATTCTTGGAAAGAGAATCCTCTCTGTGGGGATGTGTACTTTGTAGTGGACCCCTGTAGCAAGAACCCTTATCGTAAAGCATGGGCAGAAAAGACATGTTCTGTCATCAACAGCCAGGTTTTTTCTGCCTGTCACAATAAGGTAAGAATTTATTTGCTCCTCCTTTTACTTACAGGCATAATCTACGTTCTTCCAAAATGCTCACACTCCAACAGGCAATTTTTGTTTCCCAAAGTGTTTCAATGAAACACATGTAAAATCTTTTATGCATCACATTTATGTTTATTTTCATCCTTTCTTATTAACACTTCACCAGCGTTTCTTTAAGCACAAAAGCTAAGTGTGGTATTAACTGATTACTAGAACTATGAGAGTGAAAAAAGTCTTAAGAATCAAAAATTAGTCTGTTGGTGATACCTGATCAATGCACTTACTCTTTTGAAACCATTTAGTCTTTGTTATAAAATCAAACTAAAGAATGTCCTGAAAACCCGTGTTCTCATCAGTAAGTCAACAGCACTACTTAGAGATGATCCATCCTAAAGCAAGATACCTATTTGTTTAAAGTTGTCCACTTTGTGGAAATAAAAATATCACAAGGGTCATCAGGAACAGGCCTTCTGAAGTGAAATCCCTCATTTTCAGGTGAATTCCTCATTTTCAGGAGGTGAAAACAAGTGAGAAATGGGGATAATGCTGCAGTGTTTATGTATGTACACAGAGGCTGTACAGCTGATGAACTTAGATATTTGTGCCTAAATGGATGTGGGGATTTGAGGAGGTTTTTTATCTAACTATAAATAATAGGTTCAATACCAGTATAAATTAAGAAATACATATCAGGCAAAACATCACCAGTTTCTGTTGTTGATGTGGAGACACCTGATTCTGGCTAAAAAGATCTGTATGATGTGGGGTTGTAATTGCTTTAATAAGTGTTCAGATGAAATGCTAGTTATTCCCACTTAGCGGAGATTAAAAAAAAAAAAAATCTTCTTAACAAATTGGCACAAAATAATCTTAAAAAATTCATCCCCTTATTTTCCAATGCAGGTGAATCGGATGCCCTATTATGAGGCCTGCGTTCGAGACTCTTGTGGGTGTGACATTGGAGGGGACTGTGAGTGCATGTGTGATGCCATTGCAGTGTATGCCATGGCATGTTTAGACAAAGGTATCTGCATTGACTGGAGGACCCCTGAGTTCTGTCGTAAGTTCCCTTGAGTTCTCCTTAAACAGCGTAAGAGATTATTATTGTTGCTGTGAGTATATTCATATGACAATGTAAGAAAATTATTAATAAATACCTCAAAGGTTGCATTTTCTCCGTGGGCAAATAGTTGACTTCAGTCACCTGGATTTTGAAATCTTTTCATTTGTGCTAAATTAACCAAAATATTATAACCCTTTTTACCATGAGGAGAAAATAATGTGGTCACAGAAAGCAGACTCTTACTTCTGCTGCCACTGTGTAGTGCAATGTCAATTTGTCAGCAGAGAAAGCATGAAATAGTAAAAAAATATATTTCATTTTAGCTACAATGAATCTACAATCCATCTGTGTGGATGTCAAGGAAATGAAGACAGTTGTGTTGGCTGGAACACTGTAAAACAGGAAAAAGATATCAAGGTGTTCCAGAACACTCTATATAGAGGGGAAAAAAGTGTGAGCTTCTTATGAGTCAATACTAGAGTTGTCATCTTTGATGGTTTCTTTTCCACATTTCACTATATTGTGTATTAAAAATTGTGGAAATGCTTGCATACTGCACTTGCAAAAAATAAACTGTCATCACTGAGTTAAAATATAAATTTACATCAGAAGCTGATAACTTCAGTGAATTTTTTATTATTTTATTAATTTTGTCCTCCCTTTAGTACTTCAAAAATACTATACCATTAAGTTGAAGAAAAAATCTGATTTCTGTCTTGCTTTTACCTTTTTTAGCTGTCTATTGTGAGTACTACAATTCTCATAAAAGAAAAGGAGTTGACAATGCTTATTCCTCTGGCTACAATGATGACAAGTGCACCTGGCATTACAGGCCTTGTAATTGCCCAAATCAAAACTACAAATATGTCAACATTGAAGGTAATGAGCTATACTACTCTAAACCAGGGAACAGTAACATAATAACTATTTTCAATGTTGTTTTTTACATTAGTCATACCACAGTTAAATAGTGGTATTCTAATTGAGGGTATATTTGAAGCAGTTTTGCTGATCCTTCCCTTACTACTACAGTTTTAAAATACATAGTCAACTCAGGAGCTGTTCTACAACTAGCTTTATACTGAGCTCAGCCTATCTGGAAGAGAAATTCTGACTTGCATTAAATCAGAAGAATACACTGTACTTAGGGATGAAGACATGTGGAGAGAGCAGTTAGTATTTTTATTAAACAAATGCGTATAGCTGGAGAAACCAAAAAAAATCCTACATAGGCAGATGGTCTTTCTGAGAATGACAGTGGAAATACTTACCTGAATAGATGATGTTGCAACTGATACTACTTTCTAATAGCAGAGATGTAATATATTAGATGCTAAACAGCATCAATTAAATGCCTTTTTCTGAGAAATGTAAAACAATCTTCTCTTTCCCTTTCTTCAGGTTGTTACAACTGCTCTCATGATGAATACTTTGACCATGAAAAGAACTTGTGCATGCCATGTGGTAAGCAGCAGAGATATCTCAGAGATATTTAACTTTTTTCATCCAAAAAGAGAACATTTAGGAGAAGATCAGACTTAGCTAATGGACTCTACTTCGCAAATCTCTTTGGAGATTTTCTTTTAAAATTAACTTAAGATTTATTGCCATATTGTTTACTTCTGTGAAAACCTATCTTATCAAATAATGTTTTGGATAGACTCAAGTGCAGAGTTTGGATTTTCATGCAGATGTAAGAAAAACTTCAGGACAATTTTTTTCATATTACAAAATTCTAACGTGTGTATTCAGAATCTCAGCTAGTGATCTCATTTACATACAAAACCACGTTCCATTATCCCTGAAGGATGAGGTGCCCTTAAGCATAAAAGTCATAAGGACGATAGCAAAACTTACTAGTGTTCATTATTATTTTGAGATGTATTTATTTATTTGTAATTAAGTCCTTCGATATGGATTTTGCCACTGAAATACGTAATTTTAAACACTTCCAGGAATCCCTCACTAATTAACACAATCCTTTGAATCCACTCTGAAATTTGCCTTATTTGGAATATTTTAATATGCTTTTATTCACAAACTTAACCTGTTCTACCTTTACACAACAGGAGAAGAAAGCACTAGTACCACGCCTGAAACATCTTCGCCAGGTTAGTTGACCAAACTAATATTTACATACTGATATCATGTCCTGATAAGTGTTTACAAAGTCAATGATACCCTTGTTCACGTTTTATAGTAGCATCACCAGTTTCACGGGCAGAAGATGCAATGATGAAAAATGACCTGGTACCATAATATGCTGGGCTGCATCAAAAGCAGCGTGGCTAGCAGGTGAAGGGAGGTGATTTTGCCCCTCTGCTTTAATGAAAGCCCTCCTGAAGTGCTGTGCAGTCCTCAGTTCCAGGCAGTGGAGGGTCAGAAGGATGATCAGAGGGCTGTAACACCTCTCCTGTGAGGAAAGGCTGAGAGACCTGGTGTTGTTCAGCCTGGAGAACAGAAGGCTCCAGAGAGGCCTCATTGTAGCCTTTCAATACTTGAACGGGGCTTGTAAGAAAGATGGGGACAGACTTAGTTGGGTCTGTTGTGATGGGACAAGGGGTAATGGTTTTAAACTGGAAGGGAGTAGATTCAGAGTAGAAATAAGGAAGAAATTGTTTATTATGGGGGTGGTAAAACACTGGAAGAGGTTGCCCAGAGAGGATGTAGATGCCCCCATCCCTGGAAGCATTTGAGAGCAGGTTGGACTGGGCTTTGAGCAACCTAATCTAGCTGAAGATGTCCCTGCTCATTGCAGTGACTGACCATATAGCACTTCAAAAACTTAAGTCTTCATGGAAATATATGACTGACTATACCAAATCCCTATAGGCTGATACAGGAAAGGGACCTATATACAATAATCTTAAATTTGTTAGAAATTCATTAGTTTCCCTGAAGATAGATGGTATTGGAAAACATTACACTGTGGGTTCTGCGGATAATAAAATACTATTCCATTTCTGCTGCTATGCACAAGTATTTATGCCAAATTCACTGTAAAGTGAAGAAAAAGGTATAAAGCTTCTGCATGAATACCTGTTTAATGTATTCACTGCACATGATAGGAAAGGAAGCAATGGATAACTGCTCTCAAAGGCTTCATCTAAAAGGCTTTATCTGAAAGATGTTAATAGTAGTTACTGCTGATAGTTATAAAAGTGGTGTTTTTACTTAAAAAAAAATTCAGTTCATATAGGTGCATTATAAATAGGTCATAGAGGACTATTTCTTATCCTTTGATTTTTTTTCTCTTAGTAACAACAGTGCAGCCTGAAGTAACAAGAAGCTCTGCCACAAGCACCCTACCAACAGTACCTAGTACTTCTTCTGCAACTGCTATATCAACTGAGATTACAAATCCAACAATAACTGCAAAAATTACAGTTCCCAGAACTTCACCCATACAACCTCTTGTCACAATAAAGTCAACAACTGGTAGGTTTTTAGTGTTACTGTCTAAAATAAATTACAGTAAGCTCACTCTATACATAATTGAGATACCACTTCCTAGAAAAGCATTGCAAACTCATAAAACATCCAAGCATTAGACTCCAAGCTGTGAGGTAGGCAAAACAGGCTTCCAGAAAGGAGTTTATAAACCAGAGATGTTCAGAAGTGTAGATCAAAAGTGCATGGAAAGATAAAGGATATAGACACTAGGTTAAAAACATAACCAAAAGTCACTTGTGTGACTCATCTGAGAAGCACATTAGAAGTTCTGTAAGCAGTGAGCCAGCCCAGATCCAGTTAGATTTATTAGCTCAGCTTCAGCCTCTTTTGCACAGCTGGTTCAGTTATGCAGTCATACTCAAGGAACAACCAATCTGTTAACTCTGAATAATGTAAGCAAGCCCAAAGCAGATTCACACAGCTATTGGTGTAGCAGCTTTGTCTAGGCTTCTAGAGTCCTGCTCTCAGGAGGATGACCCTGCCAACATAAATTACTTTCTGATTCTATTGCTTGTGGAGACTCGTTTAGTCTCACACCAACATGCACTTCAGCTAATTAACCATCTTGCACCCTGGCTATCAGGGAAAGCAGAGTTAAAAATAGGTCCCAAAGGATTCAAAACACAGCTTCAAAAGCTGACATTATGACAGATAATTTGGGCACTGGGACAAGAAAGTCCTATAGTATAATGTTATTTAACTTTTTAGTATGAATTACAGAAAGCTAAAACTGTGGCTGATTTGGAACATAATAGTAGCCAATGAAACTGTGATTTGGGCAAAGCGCCCACACAGACTGTAGCCAATAAGTGACAATAAATCTAACTTCTTATAAAAATTACATTAAAAAAGTCTAGTACAGAAAAAATACAGAAAATGAGAACAAGGACAGGCACGAGACAGTAGAAAACAAATGTAAGTACAGAAATATTTGACAAGCTTTTGAGAACACGAGTGCAACAATGACGCTGAAAATGTTCAAAAGATCAAGGTGAAAAAGGGTCTCTAAAATATGGGTATTTTCTTCATAATTTATCTATTTTTAATTATTCTATGAATTGATTACTCACATTGTACTATTTACCTTTACTCCAAAAGAACACACAACATCAATTTCTACCACACTGAACATGACTACAACCATCACTACTCCTTCCATAACTACCACACCAAAGAGAACCATGACCACTATACCAAAGTCTACGCCTGCTGCCTCATCAACTGCTGCATCAACAGAGACAGAGCCAGTAAGGGTCACCTCACCACCCTTCAAGACCACTATCAAAGAGGAAATGACAACCTCCTCACTATCTACTCAAACCCTGTCTCAGAGCATAACTTTCAGCAAGCCTAAACTACCACCAGCAGGTAAATACCACTTTTTGATATCTGTCAGGCCAAGCCATCACTCACAGGACATATGTCAATGTACTGCTTAATAAAAAAACCCCAAGCATTCTTACTAGTGGTCTTAACATTGCAGATAGATAGGAAAGGACATGGATAACTGAAGAAGCGTGATTAAAATGGAAATTTGTCTTGCCGATGGAGCAAGCATTTGACATCCAAATATAATCTTAAACCTAACATTTCTCTTCCAACACTTCCCTCAAATTTAGACAGAATCTCTCCATGTCTCAAGGCAAGTTCTTGAAAACCCACAGACCACAGAATACATATTCCCCCTAGCCAGTGTAACAAATACTCCCACCAATAAATATTAAATAAAAGGATTTTTTTTTTCTTTTTTTGTCTGGCACTCAGTGTACCAACAAGGACAGTCTCCTCAGAGGCTCTATGGCAACATGAATTACTAGGTTAGCAGCTGACACCAGAGGCTGTGACAGGGTGTGGTGGGAATTCTGCTCTAGAGGGAGGGCAGGTGTACATTCTTCCAATCCATGTGTCTCCCACAAAGTACTGTTGGGGTGCATACATCTGGGGCTTCTTGTGTCAGCAATCACAGCTTCCTCTAGGAACCTTTCCAGACATTACTAATATTTATTCTTACTTACCTTACAGTGAGTGAGGGAATCCCAACAACCACTCTGCACCAACCAGAAGGTAAGAGGGAATAGACAGATGCCCTTGGCCTAAGACTCTGCTTCACTTACTCCAGCCTTTTCAGGTGATATTCTTGCCCAGTCTGGAATGCCTGGGAGCCTCTTTTCTGAGGAGCTTCAGAATAAGGCAGGGGGTGCTGAATTGTCAGAAGGCACACTTCAGGCCCAGTTTTGCCCCATATTTTTTGAGGGGAAAGCCATTGACCTGTTTTTCCCTCTTGCCCAGTAAGACTCAGTGGGGTCTAGTTCTGTCTTTCTTACCTCTACCCCATTACCTGGGGGTTCTGCCTGGGAATTTTCTACCTCCTTTGCCTTCTGTTCTTGCCCTGCCACCTCCAATCAACTTGTGCTTTTCTCTCGGTAGTTGTCACCCACATAAGAACATGGACACAGCCTGCGCAGCATCTCGTCACGCAGACACAGACCAACCCTGCCACATCCACCAGCAGCACATCTCCAAGCCCGAGCTCTTTGCCTGCCACCTCAGCCTCATCTGCTTCTTCCCTTTCCTCAACTGTGTCCTCGACACGGCTGGGAACATCACATCCTGGTAAGGCTCCCTCCTGCCCTTCCTGCTGCTCTGTCTGCTTCTTCCAGCTCCCACCATTTTCTCCTAGGCAGCATGTCCCGCACAGGAATCAGTTTTGGTATTTGTTCTCAATTCCCACTGTTATTCCCATGGAACACCAGCAGGTCATGCGACTGACCCACACATGACCCTGACTACATCCTCCTCCCTTTCTGATTCAGGGGTTTGGCTCTGAGGCACAGGCCTTTATCAGAGTACAGACATCCATGAGTTCCTGCCCTAAAACTGCCAATCACATGCAAGCTAACACACACCTCTCTCTTCTTACAGTGGTGCCCTGAGCGCACAGTGGGGCACTGGGGGGAAAAAAAGCAGTGAAGCTGGAAATGCATCTGCAGTTTACAACTCAGGACAGTTTTGGGTGAGAGACATAACCCAAGCCATCATCTCCAGCCAAAGGATGCCCAGGCCCTGGCACACCCATGAAAAGGGTGGTTCAACAAATACCATCTCACTGACCAATGCTGACCCTGAGTACTAAAGAGTCGTAAGTGGAGGGTGATGAAAAAAGTGTACGCTCAACTCCACACTAAAGTTCTCTTAGACACATTCACATACCTGAGTTGTCTTACTGTTGATCCTCTTTTGAGGAGATACCACAACAGGTTTTGTCCACAATCCTTCCCAAGACTCAACTGATCTTTTCTCTCATCCAGTTCTTTGTAGCAGGGAAGCCAATCAGAGATAATACACCAGCTAGTGAAGTAGTAACAGATGAGTACTCTGGTCATGAGAGAGAGAGGAGTCATTCATGGCCAGTGCATCCATGTCCCAGTAGCCACAGCTTCCAATGGATCCTTACCAGCACAGTCTACACCACGTAAATTTTAAACTAACAGTAAACAAGTAAATACTGCACATGAAAGTAGAGATAACTCTTCCCAACTCAGTAGTTCCAGGAAGAAGAAGATAACAAACAAATTGCTAGAGGTCGATCTTCAAAATGGTCTGCAGCAAACAAATATCAAATGACGCAGGGCATGATGGGACATATTAAAGATAATAAATACTTTTGTTCAATTCCAAAAAAAAAAAACCACCACCAACAAAAAAAACCCCAAACAAACAAAAATTAATTACTGGGGCCACAGTCTCCCATCCTGACCCATAACCTAGCACAAAGCCTCCAAACTAGAACTGTAGACATCACCCAACTTCTCATCAAATCAGCAACGTAAAACTGACCTGTGCTTTCCTCCCAACAGCCATCACCCATAAAAAGTCAACTGAGCCACACATTGAGCCACCTCTGACCACACACAAGACCACGGCCTCCACCTCCATCAGCAGCACCTCCAAGACCTCTGTCTCCACAGAGACACCAAGCAGCACAGAACTCCCTCTGGCAACATCATCTCCAAATCCCAGCTCTTCACCTGCCCCCAGCAGCCCACTCAGCACCCGGCTGCCATCTGCTCCCACTTCCACACTCTATTCCACAGCAGCTCCAAGCACCAGCCCCAGGCCTACACCCACAACCCTGAGGCCCAAGCCCTCTTCCCCCATGACAAGTGCTCCACAAGAGTCTCCTACAACAGAGACCTCTGCACCCACCACAGCCAAAACCAGCACAGTGCCATCGCCTGCTCCTTCTGCTTCTTCCACTGTGTCCTCAACACAGATGAGCTCCTCACAGCCTGGTAAGACCCACTCCTCTGTGTCCCACTGCTTCTGCCTGCTCTCCCTTTTCCCTTCTTCTTTTCTAGGAGTGCAGACCAGTTGCACATTTTTTCTGAATTGCTCTCCATTCCCAGTATTTTTTCACATCCTCAATGTGCTATGCCTGTCCTTTGCTATGGCCCTGTGGCACTGGTCTAGCCCCTGTAGTCTGGCCTCATAGGCTCAGAGTCAGCAGTCCTTAGAGCCTACCTATTCCTTGAAGGGAGACATGCACATCTGGATAGACACGTTTCCAGGAAGCGGCAGAGCGAACTTGTCTGTTGGAAGGCACCCTGTCCTTTTCCAATTTTTTTAGAGGGGAAAATGAACACAGCTTTTAGGGAGAAGCCACAACCCCAATTCTCCCCCTTTACCAAGAATATTTTTGCAGCCCAGAGCTACTATTTTTACTCATGCTTCTAGTTCAAAACTTATACCCATCTCCTTTCCCTTCCCCTCCTTCCCTCATCCCCAACTGACCTGTGCTTTCCTCCCAACAGCCTTCACCCATAAAAAGTCAACTGAGCCACACATTGAGCCACCTCTGACCACACACAAGACCACGGCCTCCACCTCCATCAGCAGCACCTCCAAGACCTCTGTCTCCACAGAGACCAGCCCACCAAGCAGCACAGAACTCCCTCTGGCAACAACATCTCCAAATCCCAGCTCTCCGCCTGCCCCCAGCAGCCCACTCAGCACCCGGCTGCCATCTGCTCCCACTTCCACACTCTATTCCACAGCAGCTCCAAGCACCAGCCCCAGGCCTACACCCACAACCCTGAGGCCCAAGCCCTCTTCCCCCATGACAAGTGCTCCACAAGAGTCTCCTACAACAGAGTCCTCTGCACCCACCACAGCCAAAACCAGCACAGTGCCATCGCCTGCTCCTTCTGCTTCTTCCACTGTGTCCTCAACATGGCTGAGCTCCTCACAGCCCGGTAAGACCCACTCCTCTGTGTCCCACTGCTCTCAGAATCCCAGAATTCTTAGGGTTTGAAGGGACCTCTGGACATTATCTAGTCCAACATCCCTGCTAAAAAAGGGGTCTCTTAGTGTAGGTTACGCTAAGACAATACGTCTAGATGCGTTTTGAATGTCTCCACAGAGGGATACTCCACAATCTCCCTGGGGAGACTGTTCCACTGCTCTGCCATCCAAAATGTGAAGAAGTTGTTCCTTGGGTTAATTAAACCCGAGGAATTTTGTGTTTTAGTTTATTTTAGTTTATTTTAGTGCCTTGTCCTGTTGCTGGGTGCCAACACAAAAGTGTCAACATCCTCTTGGCATCCGCCTTTGAGATACTAGTATACAATGATGAGATCCCCTCTCAGTCTTCTCTACTCTAGACTCAACAGGCCTATCAACAGTCTGTCCAAATATGAAAGATGCTAGAATCCATTGATCATTTTCGTGTGCCTCCTCTACATCTCTCGTGTCTGCTCCTCCCAGCTCCCTGCATCCCTTTTCCACCCTCTCCCTGCTGCTTTCCCTTCCTTCTACTCTCCTTCCCTCCCTGCCTCCCTCCTTTCCTTCCCTTTATTCATCCATCTAAGAACGACATCTCATTTGTGCATTTGTTTGGGTGTTGGGCCCTCCATTCCCACTGCCTTTGGCCAGCCTCCTTCCAGATGAATTTCTGGGCCTGAGCAATGACTCTGCTTTGGGTGAAATCAATTTCTGTTCCTAGCAGGGTTCCTGGTGCTGTGTTTTAGCTGCGGGTCTGAGCCAGTGTTGATGGCACACAAATGCTTTAGTGATTGCTGAGGAGTGCTAGCAGAGCATCCAGGCCACCTGTGTTTCTCCTCCTGTTCTCTTGCCAGACAGGGAGTGGGCAAGGAGGGGACAGGGCAGTTTTTCAAAAGTAGCCATTGCTTGGAGACTGGCTGGGCATTGGCCAGCAGAGTGAGGCAGTGAGTGACTGCCTTTGCACCTCATGGGTGGGTCTGAGTTCATTTTTCCTTTAGTTTCTTCACTTCTGAAAATTGCTTCTATCCAGAAAAGTGTGGGTATTTCTGCTTTGGCCTCTTCATTTCTCTCCCCATGTCTGATGAGTGGCAGTGAGCGAGTGGCTGGGTAGGAACTTTGCATCCAGCCAGGTCACCCCACCATCACCTGGCACACACTTTGGCCATGACAGGATCTAAGCAGGACGTGGAGGCTCCAGGAAGGAGCCAAAAGCCTAATCTTCCATCTTGACCAAAGAGACTCAGTGTGATATGGACCTGCTTTTCTTACCCAATGCATTAGCCAAGGTTTCTGCCCACCTCCTCTGCCTTCCACTCTTTCCCTCATCCCCAACTGACCTGTGCTTTCCTCCCAACAGCCATCACCCATAAAAAGTCGACTGAGCCACACATTGAGCCACCTCTGACCACACACAAGACCACGGCCTCCGCCTCCATCAGCAGCACCTCCAAGACCTCTGTCTCCACAGAGACCAGCCCACCAAGCAGCACAGAACTCCCTCTGGCAACATCATCTCCAAATCCCAGCTCTCCACCTGCCCCCAGCAGCCCACTCAGCACCCGGCTGCCATCTGCTCCCACTTCCACACTCTATTCCACAGCAGCTCCAAGCACCAGCCCCAGGCCTACACCCACAACCCTGAGGCCCAAGCCCTCTTCCCCCATGACAAGTGTTCCACAGGAGTCTCCTACAACAGAGACCTCTGCACCCACCACAGCCAAAACCAGCACAGTGCCATCCCCTGCTCCTTCTGCCTCCTCGACCATGTCCTCAACACAGATGAGCTCCTCACAGCCTGGTAAGACCCACTCCATTTTGTCCCACTGCTTCTGCCTGCTCTCCCTTTTCCCTTCTTCTTTTCTAGGAGTGCAGACCAGTTGCACATTTTTTCTGAATTGCTCTCCATTCCCAATATTTTTTCACATCCTCAATGTGCTATGCCTGTCCTTTGCTATGGCCCTGTGGCACTGGTCTAGCCCCTGTAGTCTGGCCTCATAGGCTCAGAGTCAGCAGTCCTTAGAGCCTACCTATTCCTTGAAGGGAGACATGCACATCTGGATAGACACGTTTCCAGGAAGTGGCAGAGCGAATTTGTCTGTTGGAAGGCACCCTGTCCTTTTCCACTTTTTTTGGACGGGAAAATGAACACAGCTTTTAGGGAGAAGCCACAACCCCAGTTCCCCCCCTTTACCAAGAATATTTTTGCAGCCCAGAGCTACTATTTTTACTCATGCTTCTAGTTCAAAACTTACACCCTATCTCCTTTCCCTTCCACTCTTTCCCTCATCCCCAATTGACCTGTGCTTTCCTCCCAACAGCCTTCACCCATAAGAAGTCAACTGAGCCACACATTGAGCCACCTCTGACCACACACAAGACCACGGTCACCACCTCCATCAGCAGCACCTCCAAGACCTCTGTCTCCACAGAGACCAGCCCACCAAGCAGCACAGAACTCCCTCTGGCAACAACATCTCCAAATCCCAGCTCTCCGCCTGCCCCCAGCAGCCCACTCAGCACCCGGCTGCCATCTGCTCCCACTTCCACACTCTATTCCACAGCAGCTCCAAGCACCAGCCCCAGGCCTACACCCACAACCCTAATAACCAAGCCCTCTTCCCTCATGACAAGTGCTCCACAAGAGTCTCCAACAACAGAGACCTCTGCACCCACCACAGCCAAAACCAGTACAGTGCCATCCCCTGCTCCTTCTGCTTCTTCCACTGTGTTTTCAACATGGCTGAGCTCCTCACAGCCTGGTAAGCCTTCCTGCTACATGTCCTGCTGCTCAAAGAATCCCAAACTTGTTAGGATTGGAAGGGACCTCTGAATATCATTACCTGCCTGCCAAGAAGGGGTCTCTAAATGCAGGTAACACTGGAATGTTTCCAGATAGGTTTTGAATTTTTCCAGAGAAGGAGATTCCACAGTCTCTATGGGGAGAGAGCCTCTTCCACGGCTCTGCCCTTCTCAACATAAAGAAGTTGTTCCTCATGTTGAGTAGTGGAATTTCTTGTGCTTTATTCCATGGCCATTGCTCCTTGTTCTGTCACTGGGCACCAACAAAAAAAGTCTGCCTCCATGCTCTTGGCACCTGCCTTTGAGATATTTGTGTACAATCATGAGATTCCCTCTCAGCCTTCTCTTCTCAGGATTCAACAGGCCCAGCTCGCCAAGTCTCTCCACTGATCATGTTTATGTCTCTCCTTTGGTCCACTGATGATCTTTGTATCTCTCCTCTGGACCTCATCTGCCTGCTTTTCCCAGCTCCCTCCATTGCTCCCTTCCTTTGTTGCTCGCTCCAGCCCTCCATCCCTCCCTTCTTTCTCTTCTTCCTTGTATCCTTCCATCTAAGAACCACATTTCACTTCTGCATTTGTTTGGGTGTTGGGCCCCCCATTCCCACTGCCTTTGGCCAGCCGCCTTCCAGATGAAGTCCTGGGCAATGACTCTGCTTTGGGTGGAATCAATTTCTGTTCCTAGCAGGGTTCCTGGTGCTGTGTTTTAGCTGCAGGTCTGAGCCAGTGTTGATGACTCACAAGTGCTTTAGTGATTGCTGAGGAGTGCTAGCACAGCATCCAGGCCTTCCATGTTTCTCATCGTGCCAGCCTGGGAGTGGGCAAGGAGTGGCCATGAGGTCCTTCAGGGACACAGCAGCATAATGCAAAGCCAGTGGCCAAGGAGACACTCATGTCATGCTGAGCAGTGCAATGGAGGGGCAGGGCAGTTTTTCAAAAGTAGCCATTGCTTGGAGACTGGCTGGGCATTGGCCAGCAGTGTGAGATAGTGAGTGACTGCCTTTGCACCTCATGGGTTGGTCTGGGCTTTCCTTTAGTTTCTTCACTTCTAAAAACTATCTGTTTCCAGACACACTTGTCTATCTTTGCATTGGCCTTTTCACTTCTCTCCCCATGTCTGGTGAGTGGCAGTGAGCAAGTGGCTGGATAGGAACTTTGCATCCAGCCAGGTCACTACACCATCACCTGGCACACACTTTGGCCATGACAGGATCTCAGCAGGATGTGGAAGCTCCAGGAAGGAGCCAGAAGCCATAATCTTGACCAAAGAGACTCAGTGTGATACAGGGCTCCTTTTCTTGCCCAACACTTTAGTCCAAGACTTCTGCTCACCTCGTTTGCCCTTGCCTTCTGCCCTCATCTTCAACTGACCTGTGCTTTCCTCCCAACAGCCATCACCCATAAGAAGTCAACTGAGCCACACATTGAGCCACCTCTGACCACACACAAGACCACGGTCTCCACCTCCATCAGCAGCACCTCCAAGACCTCTGTCTCCACAGAGACCAGCCCACCAAGCAGCACAGAACTCCCTCTGGCAACATCATCTCCAAATCCCAGCTCTCCACCTGCCCCCAGCAGCCCACTCAGCACCCGGCTGCCATCTGCTCCCACTTCCACACTCTATTCCACAGCAGCTCCAAGCACCAGCCCCAGGCCTACACCCACAACCCTGAGGTCCAAGCCCTCTTCCCCCATGACAAGTGCTCCACAAGAGTCTCCAACAACAGAGTTCTCTGCACCCACCACAGCCAAAACCAGCACAGTGCCATCCCCTGCTTCTTCTGCTTCTTCCACTGTATCTTCAACATGGCTGAGCTCCTCACAGCCCGGTAAGACCCACTCCTCTGTGTCCCACTGCTCTCAGAATCCCAGAATTCTTAGGATTGGAAGGGACCTCTAGACATCATCTAGTCCACTCCCCCTGCCAAGAAGGGGTTTCTTAGTGCAGGTTACACTGGAATGTGTCCAGATGGGTTTTGAATGTCTCCAGACAGGGAGACTTCACAATGTCCCTGAGGCACCTCTACAGCTGCTCTGCCACCCTCAGTGTAAAGAAGTTGTTCCTCAGGTTGAGTGAAACTTCTTGTGTTTTATTCCATGGCCATTGCTCCTTGTTCTGTCACTGGGCACCAACAAAAAAAGTCTGCCTCCATGCTCTTGGCACCTGCATTTGAGATATTTGTGTACAATGAAGAGATCCCATCTCAGCCATCTCTTCTCAGGATTCAACAGGCCCAGCTCGCCAAGTCTCTCCAAATATGAGAGATGCTCCAGTCCACTAATAATCTTTGAATCTCTCCTCTGGACCTCATCTGCCTGCTTTTCCAAGCTTCCTCCATTTCTCCATCCTTCCCTCCCTCCCTTCCTTGTATCCTTCCATCTAAGAACCACATTTCACTTCTGCATTTGTTTGGGTGTTGGGTCCCCCATTCCCACTGCCTTTGGCCAGCCGCCTTCCAGATGAAGTCCTGGGCAATGACTCTGCTTTGGGTGGAATCAATTTCTGTTCCTAGCAGGGTTCCTGGTGCTGTGTTTTAGCTGCAGGTCTGAGCCAGTGTTGATGACTCACAAGTGCTTTAGAGATTGCTGAGGAGTGCTAGCACAGCATCCAGGCCTTCCATGTTTCTCATCGTGCCAGCCAGGGAGTGGGCAAGGAGTGGCCATGAGGTCCTTCAGGGACACAGCAGCATAATGCAAAGCCAGTGGGCAAGGAGACACTCCATGTCACAGAAAGTCATGCTGAGCAGTGCAATGGAGGGGCAGGGCAGTTTTTCAAAAGTAGCCATTGCTTGGAGACTGGCTGGGCATTGGCCAGCAGAGTGAGGCAGTGAGTGACTGCCTTTGTACCTCATGGGGGTGTCTGAGTTCATTTTTCCTTTAGTTTCTTCACTTCTGAAAATTGCTTCTATCTAGAAAAGTGTGGGTATTTCTGCTTTGGCCTCTTCATTTCTATTCCCATGTCTGGTGATTGGCAGTGAGCGAGTGGCTGGGTAGGAACTTTGCATCCAGTCAGGTCACTACACCATCACCTGGCACACACTTTGGCCATGACAGGATCTAAGTAGGACGTGGAGGCTCCAGGAAGGAGCCAGAAGCCCAATCTTCCATCTTGCCCAAAGAGACTCAGTGTGATATGGAGCTGCTTTTCTTACCCAATGCATTAGCCAAGGCTTCTGCCCACCTCCTTTCCCTTCCCCTCCTTCCCTCATCCCCAACTGACCTGTGCTTTCCTCCCAACAGCCTTCACCCATAAAAAGTCGACTGAGCCACACATTGAGCCACCTCTGACCACACACAAGACCATGGCCTCCACCTCCATCAGCAGCACCTCCAAGACCTCTGTCTCCACAGGGACCAGCCCACCAAGCAGCACAGAACTCCCTCTGGCAACATCATCTCCAAATCCCAGCTCTTCACCTGCCCCCAGCAGCCCACTCAGCACCCGGCTGCCATCTGCTCCCACTTCCACACTCTATTCCACAGCAGCTCCAAGCACCAGCCCTAGGCCTACACCCACAACCCTGAGGCCCAAGCCCTCTTCCCCCATGACAAGTGCTCCACAGGAGTCTCCAACAACAGAGTCCTCTGCACCCACCACAGCCAAAACCAGCACAGTGCCATTCCCTGCTCCTTCTGCCTCCTCGACCGTGTCCTCAACACAGATGAGCTCCTCACAGTCTGGTAAGACCCACTCTGTTTTGTCCCACTGCTTCTGCCTGCTCTCCCTTTTCTTCATTTCTAGGAGTGCAGACCACTTGCACATCTCTTTTGAATTTGCTCTCCATTCCCACTCTTTTAGCATCCTCAATGTGCTATGCCTGTCCTTTGCTATGGCCCTGTGGCACTGGTCTAGCCCCTGTAGTCTGGCCTCATAGGCTCGGAGTCAGCAGTCCTTAGAGCCTACCTATTCCTTGAAGGGAGACATGCACATCTGGATAGACACGTTTCCAGGAAGCGGCAGAGTGATCTTTCCAGGTGTAAGGCACCCTGTCCTTTTCCAATTTTTTTTAGAGGGGAAAATAAATACAGCTTTTAGGGAGAATCCACAACCCCAATTCTCCCCCTTTACCAAGAATATTTTTGCAGCCCAGAGCTACTATTTTTACTCATGCTTCCAGTTCAAAACTTACACCCATCTCCTTTCCCTTCCNTTGCTTGCTCCAGCCCTCCATCCCTCCCTTCTTTCTCTCCTTCCTT